TGCTTCTGAGCTTGATGGCTGCTTGATTACCTTCAAGCCTTTAAGACCCCAGATGCTATACTTTTTGATAGCCGGGCACCATCAGCTTTCTTCACCACATCTTTCGTTGCCCTCTCCCCCTCATTCAGTGGGCTCCACTCACTGCTTTGTCCCTTGCTTTGTCTTGGGACAAACATGTTGCTGACTCTGGCCTCAGGACCTTTGTACTTGCTCTTTCTGCTGCCTGGCATTCTCTTGTCCTTTGTTCCTTATCATATGCATCTAAGCTCAGAAATCACCTTTTCAAAGAGGCCTCTGTAGGCTTTCATCTCCCTCACAGCTTTCCACCTGCTGCTTAAAAATCTCTCTAGACCATTCTTGTATTCTGATTTTAATTTTTGTGATAGGCCTTTATTGTGCTTTGAAAGTATTATTTTCTTTCTACCACTAGGATTTCAGGTCCTGCTTTGTTCAACATCATCAACATCTACAGGAGTGTTAGAACACGTTAGGTGTTTTTGTCAGGACCCTAATCATTCCTCTGAGTGATTAGGAGGACACACAGGATTCCACATGTAATTGTACTCATGGCTAAGATTTAATATAGTGACAGGATAGAGCAAGATCTTTAAAGGGAAAAGATGCAGAGGGTGAAGTCCAGAAGAAACCAGGAGATGTGTCCAAGAGCCCTCTCCCTGTGGAGTCAGCCGGGGCACTTCTCAGTTCTCCAGTATAACATTTGGTCAATATGTGTGAAGCGTTCAAGTGTTGTCTACCATGGAAGCCCACTAGATTGATACCCAGTGCCAAGGGTTTTATTGGGACTGGTCATGTAGGCACCTCTACCGAGCATGTACTAAAATTCTAGGGACCCAGAAGTTGAATAAATATATAGTGTAGGCACCACATGAAGTCTAGAACGCTGTAAGCTACTCTTATTATTCAGGGAATGTTGTATATCAGTGGAGGAAACTGTTTGGCCTTGGCTGTAGACTTTCTAAGGATGGGACTTTCTGGCATGTTGTGTTAACTCTTTTCTGCACAGGCCTGAATACGTGTGTGTGTGTGTGTGTGTGTATGTGTGTGTGTGTGTGTATGAATGACAGAACAAATGAGCTCAGTGTAGCTCAGGACTTGTAGAGTCGACCAGAGACTTCCACGGTCCTAGATATAGACTAAAGAGTGCAAGATCTGCCCCTTCCTCCACCTGGGACCTTTGGTGACTGTGACTCTCCTTTCCAGGTGTTGAAGCACAACGGGTCATCGGAGATCCTCAACAAGCTGTACGACACGGCCATGGACAAGCTGGAGGTGATTAAGAAGGACTATGATGCCCTACGGAAGCGGTACAGTGAGAAAGTGGCCATGCACAACTCAGACCTGAGCCGCCTGGAGCAGCTGGAGGATGAGAACCAGCGCCTGCTGAAGCAGGCGGAGATGCTGACCCAGCAGAGGGACACGGCCATCCAGCTGCAGCACCAGTGTGCCCTCTCCCTGCGCAGGTAGGAGCCCCAGGGGCTTGTCTGTCTCCTGCTCTTGGAAATGTGCAGGAGTCTATTGGTGAATCTTCTGCTGGACTCCCTTTGTGGGCTTGTGGTTGTTGGCCACAGTCCCAGCCACTTGCAAGGGGTAAATGAATCACAAGCTTTATAATAATAATAAAATCAGGAATGTTACCAAAAAAACATTTTTTTGGACACTCTCTTAGTTGGGGGTACTAACTGCAAAGTCAGCAGTTGGCAACCACCAGCTGCTTCTCGACCGGAAAATGGGTCTTTGTCCTTCCATCGTTCTAGCCTGTCCTCTAGGGGCACTGGGAGAGGAAACTTGGGTTTGGGTGACCCACTGCTGCTGTGGTCAAACATAGTAAGTAGGCAGCTTTAAAGAGCATCGGTTTGCCTTACGGTGGTGGAGGCTACACGTCCGCATCAGGGTCTCATCTGTGGTACTGAGTCCCGGGAACTTCTGGTCTCAAGTGTCTGCTAGTTACCTGGGTGTTCCTTTGCTTCTCCCTTTGATGACGGAATTGTTTTCTGTTTCGAGGCTTTTTGTTAACACCATGTGTTTTCAATAGTAGAACCCATGGTGAAATCACAAGGAAGATTTATTTTTCAGATTAGAAGGAATTTGATCCTTCTAATTTCAAATTAGAAGGATTTGAAGGAATGATATGGGACACATATCCGGAGTGAGCTCTCGTGCTAGGACAAAGTTATGCTGGTTCCCTGCGAGGCAGCAGCACAGGCAACAACTGGATCAGCAATGTCCTAGAAACCCGAGAGGCTGAAAAAATGTTGGTGAATTGCTCAAGAACCAAACTCACTATCCTTAAGTCAATGCTGCCTCAGAGCAACCCTCTCTGGGTTTCCAGGACTGTAACCGGGAGTCAAAAGCCCAGTCTTGCTCCCTCAGAACTGCTGGTGGTTTTGAACTGCTGATCATGTGGATCGCAGCCCAATGCATAACCACTACACCAGTCCGTACATGTTGTCTGTTTCCTACTGTACACATCGCTGTGTCTGTTCTGGCATTTTATCTCAGACTAATTCGGTGTAGGATCCATACTACATTGGTATGCCTTCAACTGATCACATCACATGAATATTCTCTATCTTAGGCCAGAATACTCTCTCTAGTAGAGAAAGGTAGTATCTAAGACCAACTGATTGATTCATATGTAACCATAGACAGTCCCTGGGTTATGGACATTTGACTTAGGGACAACTCCTATGTGCCCTTTATTGCAGGACCTCACACTGGGCTTTACGTGGCTAGTGAAGCAAAACCGAATAGACTAGAATCTTTACAATTACAGTGATTTACCATGGTTACCGGAACAGTAAACAGTACTAAAAATTATGGGTTGCAGCCCTACAGTGAGAGACTCAAAGAGGCGTAGCGAGCCCTTTCAGGAATCGGTTGTAAGAAACTGGACTTAAAGCAGAATCGTGGAGAGCCACCATATTCATTGTGGTGCAGGCAGCTGGCTACAGTCTTTGAGTGGGACACCATCATCTTTGAAGCCCTTCATTAATGTTACGGAAAGTTGTTCTCACTTTGAAATGATTGAACCAACAATACAAACACACTCAAACTCACACCCCCTGCTGAATCTGATTCAGTGCTCCTACAGGACAGAAGAGAATCGTCCCTCGGGGTTTCCCAGGCTGTCTATCTTTATGGAACAGACTGCCACATTTATCTCCCATAGAGTGGCTGGTGAGTTCAAGCCACCTACTTTTCAGGTAGCAGCTGAGAGTACTTTAAGCATGTGTCACAAGGCACCCTTGAACCAACCACTGCTTGAAACAAATTCTTTATCACAGTCTTTATTTACTTGCAAACTCCGCAGTTAAATAATTTAAAAGGCTTTGAGCCTTTTCTTACACTCAAGCAAAACTTATTTGGCCGACCGCACCCTTTTTAGGCGAGAAAAAAAATTAGAGAACTTTTTAATAAAACTTATACTATAGCCCATAATCCAGAATACAGTGTAGGTATCTGCTTTTGCAGCTCCCCTGGATTGTTCCAGCGCCCCTAGGAAAACACCTGAAAAGACTGCAGTAAAGTGAGGCTGAATAAGAACCATAAGAACCTTGTGTATCTGTTCTGACTGACCTGTAATCCTATTTAAAGACGTATTCAGGAATGTATCTTATTCAGAACCCAGAGGGTTACATGTCCTTCCTAACATTAACTAGACCAGTGTTTGGTCAAACTCTTAGGAACCCTGATATAATGGAGTCGCCACATAAAATGAAATATCACAGAAATTCAGAATACTTCCTTTTTCCCATATCTGAACAACTCTTGTGTGTTCTGAGCATCTTCTGTTTTCGATTTTCTCACAAGCCTTTCTTGTCTGTGTTAGCCATCCACCTAGCAAACAGGGAAGCTCGTTGTCTGGGGCGTTCTTTCTTCAGCTGCATTTTGTGTTAGATAATAACATTTTTGGAAAGGTGGTGTCCGCCCTCAAAAGGATGTTGTAAGGAACATTCGGAACATTCCTACTGAACAATAGTTCTCCGGAGTATTCCTCAGCGTCACGTGAAAAAGATGTTCTCTAGATAAGAAGATTTGGTAATTGCTGAATCAGACACTGGCAGGTTTCTTGGTTGTGGGATTTATCAGGGCCTTCATACTAGTATTGTACAGAAGGACTATCCAAGGGGGGTCTCAGCAGGTCACTGGTAGAAAACACTTTTCAATGGAACTCTTGCCTCCTTGGCACCCTAAGGAACACACTTTGAGCATTTGAACAGTACTGCTCAGAAAGTGCTTCCTAGCCTGGAAGGAAAAGGTTGTGATCTTGGTCACTCACCTACCACCTCAAGACCTTATTGTATGTTTCTGTAAACGAAGGTGGTTGAGCTAAAAAATAATAATAACAAAAATTAAAGGATGTAGTCCAGTTGTGGAAGAAATAAGATGTTATTTCTAATGTAGCAGAGGATATAAAGTCCTCAGTTTAATTTGTTGTATTTGTAGGAGGCTGAGAAAATTCTACGTCCAGGGCACACGTCCTGTGACTTTCCTTTCACGGGAGTATGGGAAAATGACCCCACTAGAGCCTTCCTGCTTGACTGGTCAGTACAGTCGAGCATTCCAGCAGCTGAGTGGCAGGACATTGCCAACCCTGCGATACCTCTCGTCTTCAGGTTCGAAGTGATCCATCATGAGCTGAACAAGGCCACCGCCCAGAACAAGGACCTGCAGTGGGAGATGGAGCTGCTGCAGTCGGAACTGACGGAGTTGAGGAGTGCACAGGCGAAGACTGCCAAGGAGTCGGAGAAATACAAGGAGGAGCGGGATGCGGTCTACAGCGAGTACAAGCTCATCATGAGTGAGCGGGACCAGGTGATCTCCGAGCTGGACAAGCTGCAGACTGAGGTAGAGCTGGCTGAATCCAAGCTGAAGAGCAGCACGTCAGAAAAGAAGGCTGTCAATGAAGAGATGGAGGTGCTGCGGCAGGTAGGCTCGTGGCGTCTCATGAAGTGGGGAGGGAGAAAGAGGCTGTACAATGCATGGTGTTCGGCTTAGAATCCCTCTCAGCTGTAACGCAGTTTTCTCTTTTTAATGATATATTTTTTTGGCATATGATTCATAGCATACAATTCAATAGATCAGTCATATCAAGAAGAGTTGTGCATTCCTCACTACAATCAACTTTTGAAGAGTTTCTTCTTTTTTTTAAATTGTTTTATTAGGGGCTCATAAAACTCTTATCACAATCCATATATACATCAATTGTGTAAAGCACATTTGTACATTCATTGCCCTCATCATTCTCAAAACATTTGCTCTTCACCTAAGCCCCTGGCACCAGCTCCTCATTTTTCCCCTCCCTCCCCGCTCCCACTCCCTGATGAACCCTAGATAATTTATAAATTATTATTTTGTCATATCTTGCCCTGTCTGACGTCTCCCTTCATCCACTTTTCTGTTGTCCGTCCCCCAGTAGGAAGTTACATGTAGATCCTTGTAATCGGTTCCCCCTTTCCAACCCACCCTCCCTCCACCCTCCCAGTATCGCCACTCACACCACTGGTCCTGAAGGGATCATCCGCCCTGGATTCCCTGTGTTTCCAGTTCCTGTCTGTACCAGTGTACATCCTCTGGTCTAGCCAGACTTGCAAGGTAGAATTCGGATCATAATTGTGGGGGAAGAGGAAGCATTTAAGAACTAGAGGAAAGTTGTATGTTTCATCGTTGCTACATTGCACCCTGACTGGCTCATCTCCTCCCTAAGACCCTTCTGTAAGGGGATGTTCAGTGGCCTACAGATGGGCTTTGGGTCTCCACTCCACACTCCCCGCATCATTCACTGTGATATGATTTTTTGTTCTGATGATGCCTTATACCTGATCCCTTCGACACCTCGTGATCGCACAGACTGGTGTGCTTCTTCCATGTGGGCTTTGTTGCTTCTGAGCTAGATGGCCGCTTGTTTACCTTCAAGCCTTTAAGACCTCAGAGACTCTATCTTTTGACAGCCGGGCTCCATCAGCTTTCTTCACCACATTAGTTCCTGTCTCTCCACACCCTCTCCATCATTTCTTGTTCCCTTTATCTGAATGGAGCTATCATTGTGGATAGAATGTGATATCTCATTGTTGCTTTGATTTTGTCTTTCAGCTGGTTAATGATCGTGAACATTTCCTCATGTGTTCTTTAGGCAGTTGAGTATCATTTTCTTAATGAACTGCCTGTTCATATCTTTTGCCTACTTTTTGATTGGATTATTTTTTTTCTTATTGAGGTGATGCAGAATTCTAGAGAGTTTGGTAATTAGTCTCTTTTCCATTGTATCATTGCTAAATATTTTTCCTCAGTTTGTGGGCTCCCATTTTCCTCTTTCGGTGAAGTCTTTTCATGTGCATAGGTGTTTTATTATTTTTAGTAGGTCCCAGCCAGCTTTTTGTCTTCCACTGTATTTTCTCTTTTACTATATTTGGTAACCTGTGGATGCTCTGCAATAGATTTGTCTGAATTTCCACATTGACACAGCTCTGGGATGTATATTTAGATCTCTAATCCATCATGAGTTTCTTTGTGTGCACTCTATGAGGTATGGGTCTCGTCACTTTCTTCTGCAGATATAGGCCCAATTATTCTTGCTGCTCCTTTCCCACATAATGCTTTCAGTCATTTGTCAAAAAGCAGTCGCCTGTAGGTCTATGCATTTATCTCTGAATTTTCTGTTACGTTATATTGGTCTTTATATCTATCTATCATTATTCCAGTATCAGGCTGTTTTGATTACTGTGTGTCAGTGTAATAGATTTTGAGGTAGGGTAGTGCAAGGCCTGCTACTTTGTTCATTTCTTTTTTTTTAAGAATGAAATTCATTTTAATAATATATTCTTAACCTATTATTTCCCAAATACTCCACTTTCAACAGGTATTAAATATATAAACTTTATTAATAAATAAATCATTTAATATTTCTGACTTAGGAAGCATTCAAAATCAAGGATCTGTTTTACATTGCACGGTGCCATCAAATCAGTTCTGACTCTGTAGCCTGGTCCTGCACCGTCTTCAAGGCCATTGCCCTTCCTGTGAAGGTTGCAGTCTTTGATGTTCTTCAGTAAGTGTTCCAAGTCCTTTTTGCTTCCAGCAAGCAAGGTTGTGTAATTTTTCTGTCATAGATTTTTTTTTAAATAATTATTTTATTGGGCGCTCGTACAACTCTTATCACCATCCACACATCCATCCATTGTGTCAAGCACACTGTACATTTGTTGCCATCATCATTCTCAAAACATTTGCTTTCTACTTGAGCCCTTGGTATCAGCTCCTCATTTTTATCCCTCCTTCCCCGCCACCCACCCCCCATGAACCTTTGATAATTTATGTTATTATTATTTTGTCATGTCTTACAATATCCGATGTCTCCCTTCACCCACTTTTCTGTTGTCCATCCCCCTGGGAAGGGGATATATGTAGATCCTTGTAATTGGTTCATTTTAAGGAGTTCTTTCTTACCCTGAGCCTCTTCCATCTTTGTAAATAGTTGGTAAGTAAGATTTCCATTTCTTTAAAGAATGAGGTTCAGATTTGGGTCTGAATTGTGATTTACTTATAGATTGGCTTAGGTGGTATTGACATTTTCACATTATTAAGTCTTCCTATTCATAAACACGGCACATGGTTTCATTTGTGTAGGTCTCTTGGTTTCAATGAGCCCTGGTGGTGTAGCGGCTGCATAATGAGCTTCGATCGTGTGCTCGGCAGCTTGAAGCCACCAGCAATCTGCAGGACAAGGACTGCCCTTGCCCCTCCCAGCCACAGCTGCAGTCTCTGAAACCCACAGGGTCCCCATGAGTCAGCACTGACTCCATGGCCGTGAGTGAGAGCTTGGTTTCTTGTAATAATTTTCTGTGTACAATTTTTATTTCTTTAGGCTTATTCTTAAGTATCTCATCTTTGTGTGGTTATTATAAATGACACTGTTTTCCTGAGGTCTTTTTCAGAGCTCTCTTTGCTGGTATAAAGAAATTCGATTGATTTCTGCTTGTAAATCTTATATCCTTTTAATTCACCAAATCCCTCAATTGTTTCCTATAGTCTTCTTGAGGAGTCTCTGTATATTTGCATATCTCTCATTGTTTGCATATCACCTGCTTATGCTTTGCCCAATTTTATTCTCATGATTTCTTCCTGTTGCCTAAGACTTTCAGCATTCTGTTGGATAAGAATGGTGATAAGCTCACCCCGGTGGACCTCCTATTCTCAAGGGAAATGCTTTCAGTTTTCCCTCATTGAGCCAGATTTTGGCTGTTGAATTTTCATATATAACCTTTATTATGTTTTGAAATTTCTCTTCTAATCCTATTTTACTTAGTTTTTTTTTTCTAAATCAGGAGTGGTGTTTTTAATATTGTCAAATGGCTTTTATACATCTACTGATATGATCATGTGGTTCTTATTCTTTGTCTAATTTATATAGTAGATTACATTAATTGTTTTTGAACCTTGAGCCATCCTTGCATTCCTGTTAGGAATTTCACTTGGTCTTGATGTTATTATTTATTTTAATGTTATAGTCTATTGACCAGAATCTTTTCTGGGGCGGGGGTTAAGTCATTTTATTGGGGGCTCATACAGCTCTTATCACAATATATACATACATCCATTGTGTCAAGCACATTTGTACATCTGTTGCTATCATCATTTTCAAAACATTTTCTTTCTACTTGAGCTCATTTCCCCGCCCTCCTCCCCCACTTTTCCTCCCTCTCTCCCCATCAATAATTTATAAATTATTACTATTCTTTCATGTCTTACACTGACTGATGTCTCCCTTCACCCACTTTTCTGTTGTTCATTCCCCAGGGGAGGGGGTTATATGTAGATCATTGTGATCTGTTCCCCCTTTCTCCCCCCACCTTCCCCTTCCCCTCCTGGTATCGGCGCTACTCTCATGATTGGTCCTGAAGAGTTTATCTGTCCTGGATTCCCTGTGTTTCCAACTCTTATCTGTACCAATGTACATGCTCTAGTCTAGCCAGATTTGTAATGTAGAATTGGGGTTATGATAGGGGGGGGGGAGGAAGCATTAAAGAACTAGAGGGAAGTTGTATGTTTCATTGGTGCTATACTGCACCCTGACTGGCTCTTCTCTTCCTTGTGACCCTTCTGTAAGGGGATTTCCAATTGTCTACAGATAGACTTTGGGTCTCCACTCCGCTCTCCCCCTCATTTACAATGATACAATTTTTTGTTCTTTGATGCCTGGTATCTGATCCCATCAACACCTCATGATCACACAGGCTGGTGTGCTTCTTCCATGTGGGCTTTGTTGCTTCTGAGCTAGATGGCCGCTTATTAATCTTCAAGTCTTTAAGACCTCAGATGCTATATCTTTTGATAGCTGGGTATCATCAGCTTTCTTCAGCACATTAGCTTATGCACACGTTTGTCTTCAGCAACGGTGTTGGAGAAGGTGAACATCACAGAGTGCCATGTTAGTAGAACAAATTGTTCTTGCGTTGAGGGAGTACTTGAGTGGAGGCCCAGTGTCCATCTGCTAAGGTCGGCCTTTTTTATTAGTGAAGCTAAACCAGTATTTCCCAAAGTTGGTGATGTTGCACCCTTGGTGTCACTGTAATGATCCACGGGGTGGTGTAAAAGCATGAACCTATACTTTAGCTTGGGTTATATGCGATTTTACAAAAGTTTTTCATTGTCACGGTGATTTTTTCCCTAAAAAGGGGCAATAAGCTAAATAAGTTTGGGAACCTTTTATATTGCTTAGTTTTAAGACTCCAGGGAATATTTTTGGCTTAAGGTCCAAGGTGTGACTGACGCAAGCCATGATGTTTTCAGTTGTCTCATATACATGTGAATGTTAGGCACTGAATAAGGAAGATGGAAGAGGAATCATTTGATGTATTTGAATTATGGTACTGGCAAAAACTATTGAAAATACCATGGATTGCCAAAAGAACAAATAAACCCATTTTGGA